CGCTCACGCTGGCTGCTGGCCACTCACGCTGGCTGCTGGCTACACACGGTAGCCCATGGCAACCCACTGCCACAGGGACTGCAGCCTACACCGTCGCCAGCGACTCATGGCAGCCCAGCTCCAGGTTGAGCCGCCGTTCAGCATCTTAGCTGCAGAGGCCAGTGTCACTGGCCCTCATATATGGGATCCGAACCGGGGCCCTCTGGCATCCCAAGCGAGTTCTTAACCATCGCGCCACTCGGCCGGCCCTGTAATGTTTTTATTTGACAGAAATTGCTGTACCAGAAGTGATGTGTGATATGGAGCCTTTCTGATGTAATCACAAAATAAGGTGAACGCTGCTGCCGAGTGCCATCCAACGGAAAGGCAAAGATCTTCAATATGGGAAGTGGCGCATCGAACCTTAGTAATAGTGTGTGACAAGTTTCAACTTGTTTGGTGCAGTCAGTTGGGTGTGAGCTATGGTTGATAGAAGGTGTGTTTTAATCATCCTCCATCATGAAAACACCCCGTGTCACATAGCTTCTGGTATGGCAATTTCTGTCAAATAAAAATATTACAATATGTCCTCATCCACCTTATTCACCGGATCTGGCACCATGTGACTTTTGCTCTACCCTAAGTCAAAATGATTCAGGACATCGAGGCAGCCACAACAGTGCACCTAAAGACACTCACAAAAGAGGACTTCCAGAACTGCTTCGGAAAGTGGCAAGAATGATGGGATAAGTGTGTTCAAAGCAAGGGGGAGTATTTTGAAGGGGATTAATTACAATGTGTCTTTTACTATAATAAATGTTTTTAATTTAAACATTCACTGTATTGTTTGATCACACCAAGTATATTTGAACGGGCCGGCCAAGTGGCTCAGTTGGTTAAGAGCTCGCTCAAGAGTTTGAGCTCTGAGCAACAGCGGTTCAATGCCTGGCCTGAGCTGAACTGCCGCTGAGCTGCCAACAGGTGGCAGGATGGCTCAGCTGAAAAACAAAAAAAGATACCAAGTATATTTGAACAATTGACTTATTTGAACAATTGACTTATTTGCTATATTAGCAAAAATATATTTACTACATATCTATATTTACATTTATATGTCTCTATTGGAACAAATGATATTTCAGTTATATGTTTGTTGAATTCCTGGCAATTTGAACCCCTGGGCCCTGCCGACTTTTAGAGTTAAGAGGCGCTGCTCTGAGCCAAAGAAACTAGGTTTAAATTCCTTATTTGCAAAGCAGAGTCCGCCAGTCTAGGATGGGGCTTCTCCTCAATCCCGTCATTTGCAATAGTTACCACAGTGATGAAAATAATTATAACAGTAATAATTGCAGCCCACAGACACCTTGGTCTAGATCAGGCACTGTGCCAATTGATTTTATTTTGAAATTGAGGTGAAATTTACACAACAGAACACCCATTTTTTTTTTAGATTTTTTTTT